AAAAAAATATATATATATTTTTTAAATCCACGCAAAGCGAGTTATAAAAGCAGCTTCTGCTGTTGCTACATTAATATAGGCAATGTGTTATAAAAACAGGGTCGAATTCTGGTGAAAATATCGTCAAGCATAAAGACATATTTTAAATTATTTATAAAGCAAAAAAAAAAAAAATGGCTGATAAATGGCGAAATCACAAAATGTGAGAAATCCTGAGACCACTAAAATTATTAGGTGTTAATTTAGGTTAAAACACTATACAAGTCTGCTCCTTAAAAAAATAGGTGATAAAGTTCAAATGAACTAAATGGACGGATGTCACACTATTTTAGTGTGCTTGATGTGGCGTGTCCCTTCGGCTCTCCACAATTTCCTGTCCTTCGCAGCTCTTAATAAACTGTTTTGTTATTTCTCCAAAACCCTGTTCCGCCATCTATTTACTAAAGCTCATTAAATATGTTATGCGTTGTTTTCCTCTGTCCCTCTTGTCTTCATTCTCTTCTGTGAGCATCAGAGTTTCCAAGCCCTCTTTCCTCATTATTTACCCCTAGAAATTTCAACTGTTTCTTCCTGATGTAAAGTATAAGTTTCCCTTTTGTTTACATTTTCTCTAAAACTCCATTGTTGCTCACATAACCGATACGTGGTATCTTCAACATCCTTCTGTAGAATCACATTTCGGTTGATTGTCCAGCATTCACTGCTATATAGGAAGACATATCGTAAAACAGTTCAGTTCTTTTTTTTCTTTTTTTTCTAACGAAGTTCTGTTTCTTAATACACTGCTTAGCTTTTGGAAAGCATCTTTGGCTATCCCAATGCGCCTTCGGATTACAGTGTTTCACTTTCCGTCCACTGTTAAAACACTTCCCAGATAGTTACATTTTTGTACTAGTATTACCGATTTGTGATTTGTATTTTGAGCTCATCCTTTTGCTAACAACCATGCATTCTGTCTTCTTGCAATTGATATTTAATCCTTCCTTCTCGTCTTTCTTCATTACCTTCCGTAAGAATTTTTGTAGTTTTATTTCCGTATCTGCAATCAACACTTTGTCATCTGCATATCATATGTTGTTAAGATTGTGGCTGCCAATAATAAATCCTGGTAGGACTTGCTGACTATGATGCCTCTCTCTCTCTCTCTCTCTCATATATATATATCATAAATTAATTGATTTAAAATGTTTTTTCTAACCATGTTTCAAAAATGGAAGGTCCGAATTTAATTTTGTAATTAAATTAAAGACATTAGTTCCATTTCATCCTCAATTTAAAAATTCTAAAATTCGCTTGAGGATGAAATGAACTAATGTCTTTAATAACGAAAGCCTACTCCTGGGGATTCCAGTAAGGCAGCAGCACTTCCCTCATTTCAATGGAGGGAGAAAGAAGTAATGAATACTGACGCTTGTGTGTCTATGGTCGTGGTACCTGGGCAATTTTTGTTCCTGGCACACCACATTAAAACTGACCTTGTGTGGAGAAGTGATTTTCCAAGCGTAGCTTACATGTCATGTGGCACAAGGTCGAAAGTATGGGGCTCCCAGTGAGGACCGAACTCACTCTCCAGTTGTAACGGGACAAGCTTGCTAGCCGTTACACTGCAGCTATGGAATAAATAGCAGATCAAAGTGTAGAATATGCTCTCTTTTTGTCCGACATGTTTCTACTTTTTAACAGTTCACGGATTAGTAAGGAAAGATACCTAGTCCTGGGGATTCTAACCGTTCAGCATCATCTCCCTCATTGCACAAATTAGGGAGGATGTATGGACAGCCACAATAAATAATATTCTTGGCCCATATACGCATGTACGAGAACCACGTTTAACTGACCACTTGTCACATCCAATGACCGTCTGGACAAATAAATACAGATTGTCTTTTCTTACGGCCAGCTGAATCTGACACAAAGCCACAAATATGGAATAGCCAATTGAACTTATTCCTTACGAGTATTCGTCATCTACATGACCAGGTTGCTAACCATTACGCGATGTTCAAATATCCTATTCTTAAAAGAGTGTCTCGATGCTTTTTACTTGTGACATAACAAACCGAGCTGAATAAATATGTTAATATATACTTGTCTGTCAAAAAGATACGAAAGAAAACCGACAAAGCCACACATGCAAACAGGAATAAGTAAAAATCTAGAAATCTTCACGGAATTTTTTTGAAAACATTTTTCTCGTAGTTTAAATATCCTTTTTTGTTGATTTAATTGTTGTGTTGCAGATGATCTATTAGAACCATTTTTGCTTAAAACATTTTTAAGTAGCTGTAAGTATTTCAATTCTATATTAAAAAAACTGTTAAAATTTTTACAAGAGTTATATGGGACAGTGGAAATATGGGTGAGCAGGAATAACAAAAAAAAATTTTCCATCTCTCCGCAGGAAAAAAAAAAAAAAACATGGACGTTAAAAAGCGCCAAAAGAAGTCCAAATAAATGAAATTTCTCAACGATTTTACAAGGTAATTACAATATTTCTGTACGTAATAAAGAAAATCCCTATTTCATTCAATTTCGTTAAACTGTGGATTTCTATATTTTAGAAAGGATGAGAAAAACAAAACAATTACTTTTTTTATGAGTAAATTCGGGTTATATCTTCTGCATCTTATAAGCCCTTCCTAACGGGTCGGTCCCTGAAGGTAGTTAACGGCCAGTCCTCCGGAGCAATAGCAACCAATGTAGGCGTGCCACAAGAATCACCTCTAGGACCAACCTTCTTTTTAGTCTACATAAATGATCTGCCTAAGAGCAGACTCAGATCATTTTTGGATATCTATGCTGATGATACGACATATGAATACACCTCTAAAATTCATGATGACCAGATGATATCTCATCCGCTCTAGTTCTAACGTCTCACTGAGAGAAAAACTGGCTGGTTACATTCAATGCCCCGAAAAACCAAGCTAGTTACATTCCATTATCGCCACGAATTACCTCCAGTCACGATGAACTAATATCCCCTCCGGATAGGCCCCGTGCCTTGAGCGATAGTGGGCCTTAAACTCACACCAGGCATCAAATAGAACTCATCAATCGCTAAAGATGCAAGAAAAACATTAAGTTCCCTGTACCGGACTCCTCGTACTATCCTCTATCGTTACAAAAGCCAGAGCAGGCCTAAAAATAGAGTATCGGTGTCATATTGGGACAGGAGCTGACCAGTCCCCACATTCTAGGCTCGATAGCGTCCAAAAGCGTCTCCGCGACCTTATGGGTGACAAATTAATTTCCAACCTACAACCACTCTCTCACAGACGGCATGTGGCAAGCTTCCTATTGCTCACTCGCTACTTCCGCGGAAAGTGCTCAGACAAACTGCATTCCATGTTACGCACAATGTAACAAACCACTCACATTCTCTCTGTATCCCATTGGTGAGAAGTAAGTTCCACTCGACCAGCTTCCTCCCGTGAACCACTGTTCTGTGGAACCGACTCCCAGGAGGATGTTTCTCCGATTACTACAATCTTAATATGTTCATATCTTGGGGTAACGGTTATCTTCCCCCTCTATCAGCATAAACTGTGCCTCTTACTCTGTAACACTACCTCGAGTGACCTGCGGGTCTTGCAAAGAGTGAACCTCCCTGTGAAAAATATTTGGAAGTTTCAGATAAAAGCAATACCCGAGGAACTATAGACAGTTTTTCCACAAATTTAATTCGAATGCGCAACTTTTTATACATCAAATTGAACTTCTTCGAAAATATAATATATATATATATATATATATATATATATATATATACACACAACGGAGTGGGTGTTAAAAAGTTCTAAGGGTTTCTCGACAAAAACGATTCCTAACCCTGCTGATATCTCGGCTCATTGTTCTTCATCTCCTTGTCGCAATTTGTGGTTGGCTTTCTCTTCATTTTTAATTTGTACCAAATACAATCCAATTATTTCTTCCAATTTCTACTTGGTCCGGTGTTCATTTGGTACAGCCGACTTATTTTTTCTATTTAAAAAAAAAAAAAAAATGTAACGAAAACATTTAGAATAATTTCTGGTGAAAGGTTTTATCTCAACCGGCACGTTTATTAAAAATTTACCCCCCACACCGGGTAGAACGTTTTCAGACGGTTCTTGTATTTGGTACAAAAGAACACCACCACTTTCTCTCTGGCCTAAAAAAGTGAAGAAAGTATTTTTTTTTCTTATAGATAAAGAAAAAAAAATACGGGTCAGCCTATGTAGTTGGCAGCGAAATGATAATATATTGTAGGGTGGAGCGGCGAAGGTGGCGCTGTCCCCTCCGATACGATAACTTATATTTGAAGGTAGTTAAAAGGAAGAGTGAAAAGTAGAGCATGATAATGAAAAAGGGGGAAAAAACCCTCAAGATATAAAAGAAGGCAGATGAAAAACACTGATAGAAATTAAAAAAGACGAAAAAAAAATCTGAGTTTAATTCGTGCCTTTTGTACTTGGGAACATATGAACTAAAGTGGTTCGAAAGTAGAGCCAAATTAAAAACTATGGCTGATTTTCAAGGTAAACCGACCTCTCTGCTTTGAAGATAGCACCAAAATATTCAGATAACTGGTAATTTAGTTGGGGAACAACAACAACATTAAGAGAAAGAGATCTTTAGACAACGATAGAAAAAAAAAAAAAAACTTAAAGTGGAAGAAAAACGAGATTATACGAAAGGAAACACGGACCGCCCAAAAATTTATACTTGTGCATATCAAGGCATCTTCAAACTGCCAACCAGCTGAATTATTTGTTACCGAACAGTAGAGAAAGATGCGTGTGTTCTTGTTATGCTGGTGTCGGAAAATGCATTATGGGAACAAAGAGTAGAAAATTAAGAATGTTTTGCGTGAAGATTGTTCAAAGTGTCAGTAAAATGTTAGTCGTATTAAAAATGGTTTATGGGGAACATAGGAAGAAAACGAATATTTTCGAGTGTCACTAGCAGCTCAAGATATTGAGAAAATACTTACGGCGACGAAGGAATTAAGCAACACACTATATATATATATATATATATATATATATATATATATATATAGGGGGGGAGGAGAGAGGAGAGAGAGGGGGAGAGAGAGAGAGAGATGGGAGAGAGAGAGAGAGAGAGGGAGGAGAGAGAGAGAGGGAGAGAGAGAGAGAGGGAGGAGAGAGGAGAGAGAGAGAGAGGGAGGGGAGAGAGAGAGAGAGGGGAGGAGAGAGGGAGAGAGAGAGGAGGGGGGAGGAGAGAGAGGGGAGGGAGAGAGGGGAGGAGGAGGGGAGGGAGGGGAGGGGAGAGAGGGGAGGAGAGAGAGGGGGGGAGGGGGAGGGGGAGGGGAGGAGGAAGGGGAATGAAACCTCAAAATATGTTCTCTTGTGAGTTAAAATAAAAGAAAGCCTACGTTCTCTTGAGCGCAATTTTAACAATGTGCTGAACCCCGTTTTCGGACGTGTGTAGAAAAAAGCCTAATAATATTAACAGAGTCATGCGATTACTTTTTTTTTTTTTCATAACATTCAATAAGTAATTTCTCATGGTACCGATACGGCTGGTGGAGACTGCAGACAAAACAAAACAACCTGAAACACGCTGGCATTAATTTCTGTCGCCTTACTAAATTTATTTTGCGGATGCAACCTCGAAAAATATATAACTCCTTTATTTGGCAATGTCAACCGGGAAAAAAACACTTATTTCACCCAAACACGAATAATGCTGAACACGAAAAATGATGCGAGAATATGGGTTAGCTTTTATGTGCGCGAGTGGATTAAAATACTCGAGAAAGTGAATCTACAGTGGCCTAAGAAAAGTTCTTGGCCAGGAGAAATAAACTACATCCAAATTCAAAATTTAATTACGTAATCCCTACTCAACAAACAGTATTTGGAACTAGTATAGAGTAGGTCCTCCATTTTCTAGTTTCACTGCTTGTATTCGATTTTTCACGGATTTGATCAAGTTATCAACAATGGTCCAATTCATATGTTGCCACTTCTTTAGCAATGTTTCTTTAATGGATGCCACTGACGGGATTTCAGTTGCACGCTCTCGAACTTTTCGGTGAAGGTGCTCCCAAAAGTGCTCTATAGGATCCATGTCAGGAGCTTGGGCTATCCATCGCAGTAACTTGATTCCTTGCGACTCTTTTAAGGCCTTTGCTACTTTGCTCGTATGACATGGCGCTACATTTTCTTCGGAAAGGTAGACATTCTTGTCAATCTGATTGGTTTCAAATAATGGAAGTAGTTCTTTCTCTAATATTTGACAGAATTTTGGACCATTCAACCGCTCTTCAACAAGAATCAGCTCAGATTTCCCTCAGCATTACTCCAATTCCTTCCATGTCTCACGGTTGCCTGCAGACATTCAGCGTTCCAAGTCTTATTCTGATTTCTCCAAACATAAACCTGTTTCGAATTCGAATATTGGCAGAACTTACTTTCATCTGACCAAATTACAAACTGCCAAAATTCATAATCTTGGCTCTCGAATTCTCTCGCACAGTCCATACACCTATTCCTGTTAACCTCTGAAATCAAGGGCTTCTTTCTTGCAACTCTTCTTTGATAGCCTAACTCTTTCAGAGTATTTCTCGCTGCATATGGCGACATTTTCATCTGACGACGGTTTCTGATGACTTCCATCTTCAGCGCTCCTTTTTGTTCACTCAGACACGATGCTTGGTCTTCCCGGACGTTGTTCCACACGACAATGTCCGTCATTAAATTTCTTGACAGTATTATTATCCGTTTGATGATTAACCTGGAAAAACTTAGTAATTTCTCTATTTGACTAGCCACAATGATGCCATCCTATTATTTTCCCTTGTTGAAATTCACCATTTTCCTTACTTCCGCGAGCTTTCATTGCAAAATATAAGACAACTATCGTTCATAGATGAAAGTAGCTTGATACTAACTCGCTATTGTCTGAAAAAAAAAAAAAAAAAAAGATACGTTATTACACAAGCCAAAATTGCTGTAATTAAGGGTGGCTAAAAACTTATCAAAGCCTGTATAGTGTCTCCTTTATGTGATTATTCGTCAGTGCTAATTAGCTTTAACTCATCAGATGTCATCCCCGCCACACACAAGGAGACAGTCGCCATGTTCCTTTCAAAACGTTTGAGGTACAAAAAGTTTTAACGCTTCATCATGGATCATTTTGTACATAACGCGAGTTTTTCGGAGTTACTTTTATTCATTGTATATTGGTAGATGGTGTGATCAAATTTTCTTGTTATCAGAAATACATAAATTTATATGGAGCGTGATTCCAAAACTCCGGGCAGCGTTATCTTTAACATCAAGGATAAAAAATGGCAACTTTTTTTTTTTTTAATCAGAAAAAAGAAGGAATAAAACATTATTTTAACATTGCACATTACGATGACCTCTTGCGACATAGATAAGAAATGAGAAGCAGGCTGAAGGCTCTCTGGTTTCATGGTCGGGATCAGAAGTGAACGCGTCTAAGACATAAATACATAACGATAGGAACACGCTCTCATTTCTTCAAAAGGAAGAAAAACTTATTATCTAGTCAAGAGAGATGGAGAAACCGTGAGGGATAATAAAGAGACAAGAGACAGCTAGGAGGTTAGGGTTACCCAGAGAGACAACAGAAATAGTGTGATAGACACAACAGACAGTGAGAGCGATAGATATGGCGAGCTGAGTTCAAATTCTCGCCTAATTTGTCTTGATTTTAACGCTGTCTAGAAAAGGCATGTATCCGTCTTTTTTCCCCCTCTCAGCTAGGGGATAAATAGCCGGTTAGATTGGGCTCTTAGTTTCGAAGAGAAATTACTCTGAATTTCCAACCGTGAAAAACGCAGGTGAGAACCATTTCATCTTTACAAAGAATCCATGACAATTCACTGATGTTAACAAAAAGAAAAAAAAAAAAAAAGAATTTATCGAAAACCATGTTCTGAAAATGACATGTCCTGAAGTTACATGGTATTTAAAATATATATTTCTATTATCTCTATTACCCTAGTAATGAGTTAAATAATAGGGTAGACTTGGCCTTCTAGTATTGAGCGAAAATCCAGTTGAAGTGAAGGAAAACTGAAATGTCAAACCCTAAAGAAGCGAACGGAAAATTACGCCACTTTCCCAAGAAGCTATGGTAACATACAGATAATTGAGATAACGAATCTATGGCGATTCATGACCACAATATTTTTTCAATTATGTCACCCAAGAAAGGCGATAAAGCCACTAAAGTGAAAGACGTTACTGAAAGTGAAAGAATCTGCGAAAAATCATTAAAGGTAGAAGATAATGAAAGAACAGGAATTAAGAATACAAAATATAACGATTGACATTACATTTATTTTTTTTATTTTTATTTTTTAATCAAGGCTGACTGGAAGAGAGAAAATGTTAGCATAGAATCTATGGTTACATTTACTCATTTCAACTGTAAAATGATGAAACATGGCCGCCAATCTAGTACAACATAAGGCAATTTCTTTTTAATTCTCTCTTAGCTGTCTTTTTTTTTTTTTTTTAAATTTCTCTCTTATCTTTGTCTATTATCTACTCTCTCCGCTACGAGTTAAATTGCAGAGTAGACCGGACTCTTTAGCCTTGGGTGAAAACTAGCGTAAGTGAAAGCAAACACTATTCCAACTTGTGAAAAAAACAATGGAAAAGCTTTCCACTGTCTTTCTGAAGGAGGTTATGCCAATTCATAGCTAATAAAGAAAAGGAATCTGTGGAAAGCCATGATCACCTACATCATGAAAGATATATGACCTTTAGAAAATGTTAACTCATATTTAATATATCTGTTTATTGTCTACTCCCTCATCCATGGGTTAAAGAGTAGAGTAAACTTAGCTCTCTAACCTTAGGTGAAAACCACACTAAAAGAAATGACTGATTTTTCTTTTACCGCTAATCAAATATTTAAAGGTTTTTTAAAGGTTTTTTAAAGTCAGAAAATGTTTTTAGACTGTAAGACTTCTTTTTAAATAATAATTTAGTGATAAAAGTCTTACTAATTATTTCATAGATGGGAGAGAGGAGGTGGATTCACGCATTTCGCAGGAGTATTGCGTGTAGTGAATATAACGAACCCAACTGAAGTTGGAACTCGACACTCCAATTAAAAATTCCAAGCCATTATCCATTACACTATGCGCACATGCAAGCTTACAGCACTTGATAGTCTTAAACGGTCACCCATCTAGCTACTGACTAGGCTCGATGTTGCTCAACTTGGGTGATCATACGGAAACCGGTGTTTCAACGTGATATGGCCGTAAGCCAATTTAAGAGAAGGAAAACTCTGAATTCTAAATTGTGTAGAAGACAATAGAAAACTTCTACTGTCTTTCCCAAGAAGCCATACCAATAACTTCTATGATACATCCTAAATAGGAAAGAGGTGATATTGAGTGTGTCATAAAAGTTGTTTCCTTTGCATGAAGAACGAACAGAATATGGAGGTCGATAAAGCAAAATCTTTCGTATCAGATTCAAGACACAATGGCTGACAAAATAAAGCTAAATCTCTATTGTCAATTATTTTTCAAAAATGTTGCCTTGTGCCTAATTCCAATAAACATTCTCGGTAAATACGCAAATTCTCAGATGAGCATTGTGATTGGACCAGTATTTTCCTTTTGATTCTCTTTAATCGGTATATTTTGGCCAATGAATTATTTAGCCATCCTCGGGTGTCTATCAATTTAAATAACAGGTTAGACTAGGCTCCGTGACCTTCAATGGCAGCGAGACTTAGAAATAAACAATTCTGAATTCAAAACTATGAAGAACGCAACAGGAAACTACTCCATTATCTTTCCCAAGGAAGTCATGGTAATTCACTGATAATAAAGAAAATCAGTAGTGAGTTATGATCACCTACATGCATATGGAGCACGATATCTTAGAAAATTATTTCCTAACTTTATCGATTGTTGCTCCCTGAGGCACGGTGGAGTAATGGATAGCGGCACGGACTGAGGAATCGGAGAGCAGAGTTCAAATTACAGTCGAATTCATTACATTCATTTACGTGCTAATATCCTTGGGAAAAGTATGAATCCTCTTCTTCTCCCCACCCACAAGCTACGGGCAAATAGGAGGACAGACCGTGTTCTATAGTCTTGGATGGCAACTGGTCTCCCGCAGAAAGAAATGGCAACCTATTACGGGAAAAATATCTGCCTCGTGAGTCATGTATCGAAAAATACATGATCGCCTTGGCGTGTATCACGCATGGCACATAACTGAGTGACTGACTGACTGCTCACTGAGTAGAGTAGACTGAGTAGTGGTCAGATAAACAAACAAACTGAGCCTGTGGAAAGCTATGACCACGTATATCCTGAAGGGACACGGATAAAGAAAAGTAGCATAAGTATTTCATTACATGAAGAATTGTTGACTTATCAATTTTGGACGAGGATTTTCATCTTAAGTTATATGTCCGGGGTATGGACCCATTATAAAAGAAAATCATATTGGAGATAAAGAAATTGAACATAGAATAGGCTGCACTGAGGGTACTTTAACCTAATACTGAAATTTACTACAAAACTTTAACCTAAAAATTCGAGTCATATTCTTAAATAGCCTCGTAAGATACGGATTTTTATGTAGATGTTATGTATGACACCAAACTTTTTCAGAAATATCTAAACTCTCAGCTTTATACATCCGCTTTCACAGATCAATGATTAGAAATGGTTTCGACTCAATGAAGGAAGCCTGTAGATCTTATCGAAAACCATACTCCAAAGAACCTAGTGGAATGGTGCTACAGAAGTCCAATGAACTGTACCAAATAACAGAAACTACAACATTTGAGAACTCAACAGCAACACATGAAAAATGGATACTCGAAGAGAAGAAATGACATAATATAGAGGTTGGTAGTTTACATTTCTTCAAACAAAAGTTTAGGAAGGAATCCTCCATCAGTATTGGAAAGAGCGATAACAGTAACTCGAATTGAGAAACCTATTTTCCTGAAAATCTATTAAATATATATATATATATATATATGAAGAAATATAGTCTTAAGATGTGGTATATTTATAGGATAAAGTGCTCAATATCAGAGAGCGTGTGTAAATATAAAATATATCGTGGTTTGACGATTGCATTTAGCATGAAACAGACTGTCACCTCTAAGTGTTAACTTCTATGTTCACTTTTATATATATGTATATTATACTCTTTTTTTTTTCAATACTGAAAAGCAAGGTGACAACAGTAATAATACGCAAGAGGCCATCAGAAAGAAGGAAGTGGAAACCGAATCCAAAACAGGAGACAGGGCTAAAAACCCTACTCTTGTTCAAAAAACTGGGTGGAGTGTGAACCTGCCGATAGGCGAACCTATTTCAAACATGGGTTTTTGCAGATATTTGTTTTGTAAACAGTGAATTTAATATCTATCAGCCAAGTGATAGCCCTACTAAAGAAAATGTGTTGAAAGGCAAGTTATCTTCCATGACACTTTCTATTTCTAAGTCTGTAGTTAGCAAAATGTCGAGAAAGTCTACTCAAACACGTGTGCCGACTAAAAATAACAGTTACAGTCATTAAAAAAAAAAACAATGCCAGATAAAAAAAAATTAAAATTTAATTTATATATATATATATATATATATATATATATATATATATATATATATATATATATGTGTGTGTGTGTGTGTGTGTGTGATAAAATATAGTTCAAATCAGTGGCGAGTTACAATCACCTACATGTTTATTCTTAGAAAATTATTTCCTAACTTTATCGATTGCTGCTTTATTTCCCAACTGTATATATAAATAAAATATGTGTGTGTGTGTGTGTGATAAAATATAGTTTTAAGGTAAGGTATATTTATGGTTTAAAACGCTTAATATATTAAGCGTATGTAATTATAAATGTGGAAATTCAAGTGAACACCCAGTGGCAACAGTCTGTTTCATGCTTATACGCAATTGTTATGGCCTGCCGATTGCGTTTAAGCATGAAACAGACTGTCGCCTCCGGGTGTGGACTTCAATGCCCACTCTATATGTATATATAAGATAGAGAGATATATAGTGATGACAAATATATTCGTTGTATATTTTGATGTTTTTTATTGAGTTGACTTTTGCCGCCAAAGATAACTTTGCATGGGAAATTTTGAGCGTCTTTTCACTGTGAAATTATTGCAAAAATCACATAATTGTCGGATTTTAATGAAACTTCCAATACTTATTCACAAAGAAATGAAATTATTTTTTTCAAATGTTTCTTTATTTTAAAAAAAATCTTGGTAATTTTATTTTTTTTTTTTTTTTTTACATCTGTTGCCCAACACTCATTTAATTTTGTGAAATTTCGGGAAATGCATAATGGTTATATTAGTTAGGAAGACGAATCGGCGGAGATTTTAAATCATTAAATTTTGGGAGTCAAACAGGACCCACAGTTACAGAAAATTTGCTCTGTATCGTAAGATTAAAATGCAATAAAACTAAGACATTATTTAATTTGAATAATTTCTTTTATGAATAAAATATATTATGGATGCTATATTGACTTACGAAAAAACGGCTTTCGATAGATAATGAATTTTTATAAGAATTGTTTTTATTTTTTTTCAAATTTTAATTAGAATAATTTATAAACATTGTAATCTTTTAAAATTTGGTATTAATTTGTAGCGGACAAGTAATATTGTTATTAAAAATATATATTTACTCATGATAAATGGAAAATCTTACAATTAAGGGACCCTTAGTATTTTAAGAAAAATTTCGAATTTTTTGTGTGTATGGATGCCCGTATTTACAAAAATAGTACCTATTTTTGTAAATACGGACATCCATGCACGACATTATCAGAAAATAAGAATGGTAAATATAGTAAATTTAAAATTTATTCCTAATTTTCGAATATTTATTCAACAAGCGTTTTCGTAAGTAAGGCGAAAAAGCCAAAGTACCTAAATTTCAAATAAAATATTAGAATACATAAAATATTTAAATTTTTAGTATTAATGGGTATTTAAAAAGAATGGTATAAAAAAAATTTACATTGCATTCGCCATGTAATTTTATTACAATTATCTCCCCTTAACATAAATTAGCCATGCAATCAGACTGTCGATAAATCTGTCAACAACTAATAAAAACACCCACCTCAGTGTTAAAAAAAAAAAAAAAAAAAAAAAATGCTTTTCTGTGATATTTTAAAATAAAAGTAATATTTGCTTCAATTCAGACTAATTCAAATATAAATCAGGTAATTTTTCTCAATGTTTCAGAAAAGTACATTTTATTTTTTAAAGATTAAAGAGAATTTGGTTGTGGTGACAGATTTGTCAATATGAACGATTTTATCGATTGTACTGATAACCAGAAAAAAAAATCATGCCACGCAATTTAAATTCGATTTAAGCTACAGCAATATATATATATATATATATAATATATATATATATGGGGAGGAGAAATTTATCCCAGTAACAGCCCTGAATAATGCTAATACATTAGTGGCAATGGTGCCTTCTTCTACCTAATGTCTTGTCTTACCATTATGTGGGAGGTATATGTCTGCTGCACTCTTTGTGGGTGTATGTGTCAAAATATACGTTTAGGGAGGAAAAAGCCTCCAAAACAATTTTCTTCGAAGAAGCGATGAAGGTATAAAAAGTTTTGAAAGAGAGAGTCTGGAAGCGTCATTGACAGGCGAACACACGCACACATAAACACTTGTCTCCTTGACAGAGTAAAACACTGCTGATGATTGGAAGGTTCTGTTCTCGAAGTTTAACTGCATAAGCTTTTAGCTTAAGCGAAGAAAGATTCTTGCTTTCCTCTGTTTGGAAAGAAAGGCTTCTGGAGGTCAATCTTGTGCTTTGTGAAGCCGGCTACACTGAAATTTAAGAGAAACGCGCAGATTAAAACACACCTACGCGCATGGTTTGTATATTATCTTTGTTTTGTGGAAACGGCTTTCTGAAATCTTTCGAGAACCTTACGAAAGATTAAGTCGCAAAACAGAAAACTGGGCAGCGTGTTCTTGTAATGAGCACAGGAAAATGGTAATAATAAGGTATCAAGAATATAAAATAAAATAACTCTTTTTCACTGAACGATATTGCGTGATATCATATGGCTCTTCCTGAAATTCGTATTTTACAGAAGCAGTGATTTTTATTGTTTTGGTGACACAGTTCATAAAAATTAGACAATCTAACATAATGCCCGTCAAAAATATGTTTATCAAATGTATGGCGCAGTACTTTTGCCTAGAAAGAAAGTAATA